AATGATGTACAATACAATTCCATTACAAATTCATGTTTCACAAACTATGAGAAACACAAGTATTTAACTTAAATTACAAATTATGGGTAAACTAAACTATTTATTTTATTTCTCTTGATACCGACAGCAGATGGAAAATATCAAAATCAAGAAATAATAATACTAGCCACAGCCGGATCTACGGAGGGGGGGAGGGCTTTCGGGCTGAAGCCCTCCCCCAAAATGGTAAAATGTAACCATGTTTTATGGAAAAAAAATTATCTCTTAAAGTATTATTCTCCGTGTAAATACATTTAATAGGACTTCAAGAATCACTTAAACACCATTCCATATCCGTAGTATCTTTTTTTTCCCAAAGTAATTATCGTTATATGTACGAAAAGAAAAACTTTCGGACCGAACCCCCCCCCAAAAAAAAAAATTAAATTCTGGATCTGGTAGTGATACTAGTATAGTGAAATATTCATTTATATATTTGTTTGTCCCATAGTTTGTGAGGTGTCTAAACACTCTTTAAAAGGAATCATCTATTAAAATACTGTATTATTTTAGTTTAAAGTATTTTGTGTCACTTAACATTTTTCATCAAGAAGTGCTTGAAACAACTCAATGCCTGCGTGAAATGGTAATTTTTCATATAGGCACACAGGCGGATCTTTGGGGGAGGGGTGCTTTCGGGCTGAAGCCCCCCCCCCTCCCTAAAATGGTAAAATATAACCATGTCTTACAGAAAAAAAATATTAAAAACTATCTCTTAAAGTATTCTTGTTCGTTTAATTACATTTAATAGGACTTCAAGAACCACATAAACACCATTTCATATAGGTAGTTAGTTTCTTTATTTTTTTTTCTAATTAATTATTGTTATATGTATATGAAAAAAAAATCTTTCGGGCTGAAGCCCCCTCCAAAATTAAGTCCTGGATCCTAATGTATAGGCATATGTAATATACTGCACATAGGCATATACACTAGGATTTAATTTTGAGAGGAGCTTTAGCCCGAAAGCTTTTTTTTCCCATAAAAATAACAATAATTACTTTGGAAAAAAAGAAACTAACTACCTACATGAAATGGTGTCTAAGTGATTCCTAAAGTCCTTTTAAATGTAATTACACGAACAATAATACTTAAGCAGATAATTTTTTAATATATTTTTCCATAAAACATGGTTATATTTTACCATTTTAGGGGGGGGGGGGTCTTCAGCCAGAAAGCCCCTCCCCTTGTAGATCCACATTGTATAGCCCATGGACATATCTAATATATTCCAAACAATATCCCCCCCCCCCTTTCAGGCCCCTCACTCCGTGATCCTATAGTTTGCCTCCCTCTCCAATAATTTTCATAAGTCGGGGCCCTAAGGTGGCAAGAGAAATAAAAAAAAAATTGTACTTAGCACTAATATGCCTATTAATTGTTTTTCCCCATAGATGTCTAAACACATCTTTAAATTATTTAAACGAGATCTAATTTGATGAAAATATGTTATATTATTCCAATGCTAAATATGTTTTATTAACACTTTGATTTATTTTTATTCCAGGATTTTTTCTAAAATTTGGGATAGTGCGATGAAGTAATTAACTATTTTCATGATAATAAAAAATCTGGTTAAGTAAATAAAAAAGATAAAAAAAAAACATATTTTAAATAATAAGAATAACTATTTGAATATTATAGTAATATTCATACAGCCTGCCATACTGCATTGGATGGTAAAATAACGTATTAGCTCAAACCGTTCCAGTTCCGCTAGCGTATTACGTTCCATGATACCTTAAGAGTTCCAGTTCCAAAAGTCTCCCAGTTTTAATTTAACCTATTTATTTAATGTTCATTACTGATACATTTAAATAAAAAATATTTTTATTATTAATCTTCTGTTCATTTATTAAGTTATAATTTAAAAATAATAACATTTTGTGCCTTTTCCCCTTAAAGATAATTGTTGGTAGATTAATTTTTATTTGAAAATTCAACCAAAGAACTATAAACAGCTAACCGACAAAAAACATAAAATATACAAGAACATTTTTTAAAAATTTAAATGACTACAACAATGATTAGTATAATGTATTGAAGGTTTATAAAATATTTTAGGATGAGATTTTCATCCATATTAACCTTAGCTCTGGAATCAGAGCCTCAAAAGAGACTTTGTATGTGAAGGCTAGAAAGTAAATTACGAAAGTGTATGTTATTCTAAGTAAAATGAACCTTATCTGCCATTCCCCAGCCGCTGCTTTAACAAATGGCGATTTAAAGAATATTAGGCCATTAACTTGAAGATCGAAACGGGAAATATATCACTTTTTTAAGTTGTATATATGGGTTCAAACATATAAAATTGCTAACGCGAGCCACCAATGGAACTTTTTACAGCAAAAAAAACCAGAGTTTTTCAATATATTTTTGTTTTTTTCACATATTACTGTTTAACAGTCCATTGAAGCGGAAAATATACTCTTTAAGAAATAAAAGAACCTTAAAGTATTCGTAGAACTAGTACCCAAACTTTACAATATGGTAAAATCGTATGGTAAAAAAACACGGTCAACGAACTCTAATTTTAACCAGATTTGTCAAAAACTGAGACAAATTACTGCATATGGCTCAGCAGATTGGAGATGAGTTCTCTAACAGAAACATCATATAGAATCAAAGTTCTAGAGCATAAAATTCTTTGTCAAATGAGTATTATTATTTTCAATGTAGATAAATTATATCTCTCGGAATTCGTTATTTCTTCACAAAATTCGGTTTCTTATTGGACATAGTTTTTCAAAATCTTTCGCTTCTAAGAGGTAGAAAAGCGTTTTATACTGCATATAGCAGACTACAAAAAATAATAACTCAGTAAAATATACAGAAATACGGTTAAAATATTAAAAATCGCACATACCTTCTCTACAACTTTGGTTTCATGAGTTGTTTCACTTAGAAAACGCATTTCCATATTGCCGGACTAGTTTTAGTAATTTGTCTCCTAGTTTTTGACAAAATTGGTAAAAATCTGCTCTCGTTGAATGTGGTCTTTTTCCATACTGTTTTACCAAATTATTATTTTCAGATATTCATTCGGTATCGCACAATATTCTTTGATTTTGTATTTTCCGCTTCGGAGGACTGTTTAGGAGTTACATATGAAAAAACAATGATATATCGAAAAAAATGGCTTTTTGGTTGTTAAACGATTTCTCTGGGTGGTCTGCATTAGCAATTTTGTTTTTACAAGTTTGAATATACACGATAAAAAAAAGAAAACTTTTCCCACATTTTTCGTAATATATTTCACTTTTCGATCTTCAAGTTACTGGCCTAATATTCTTTTAATCAGCCGACATTTTTGAAATCAGCTGCCCTGGAATGGCAGATTCACCTTTGGCAATGACACAGACCTCCTCCCAATATATTTTGTTGGTGTTCTCTTCTTAAAAACGGTGCAGTGCATGTTACAATTATAAAAATTGTAGTTTATTTAACTTACCCTGTTCCATGTTTTTCTTTTATTTCCTGATTTGAAAGTCCCTCCAAATTAGAACCTCATAAAATTATAACCACATAAAAAAATATAAACAAATGATAGCATGATTTGGGCCTTATCAAGTTATCATCTTCCTATCATCCCTGCTTGTATATTGTCATCAATTTTTATAACTTCCCTATATTTTATTAGTTTATCAAGCAAAATTTTAAATTATTGTCACTTTAAAAGAAAAACATGAATTCAGACCTTTCTGCTGCAAATGTGGCCGAAAGTCACAAACGCTAGCTCGTGTATTGATTAAATGTCCAAATTATATACTCCTAATCATCCGCCACACAATCATATAAATAAACAAATACTGCAGGTGAAGAAGTATAGACGTTTCTTTTAGCCAAGAAATAGAAGACATAACAATAAGAACATTGTTATGTCTTCTATTTCTTTCGATTATATCTGTGATGTCTTCTTATTAGTTCGATATTCCAACATTTAACATGCGACAGCTAAGAAAGCACTAAATAGCAGAATCCAAGATAAGGTTCAAAACGAACGACAGAATAGAGACTTCAAGATGGACAATTATAAGCAAACATGCAGAATTTAACCATTACTTCACCTATTTGCTTATGAAACGTGGTTGCTTCGAGGTTTATTTAATCCGCTCAAAAGTGGTGGTCAAATCATTATGTGCCAGCCGGAGATGAAACAGTAGTAGAAGAGTTCTGCACTTGTAGGAGGAGCTACAAATTGATCTTTAACATAACTCCTAGTTGCTCTGTTGACGATTAAGGAGTAGAGCTGGAATGTTATAGCAGACTAAGCAGCAAAAAAACTTTTGAAAGTCCTTGTCATTGCTTAGTGAGGAGTCTTGGGAACTAAGCAAATAACAAGCCTGACTCTCACGAATTCAGCCCAATGGCAAGAAAGAACCCGGAGATGGTTTTTTTTAAGTGAGTGGGAATCTCTCTGTTTAGGGCTTCTAATCACATTTTGTATGAAATTGAAAGTAAAAATTCACAAAATAGTACTTTGTGTATTATCTAAAGGCCATAAAAAAACAATTCGAAATTCTCCTTGATTATTAACATAACGACGCAAATGCTCTTGGTTTAGATGGAATCCTCAAACGAAATAAAAATGTTTTTCAAGAGGGATCCCCACCGAATATACAAGTTGAAGAACCCTTGGAAGATAAAATAAAAGCATTTCTAGTGAAACTTTTGAATTAGTAACCGTTCTAATGCTTTTGGCTATTGTTTCCACCAGCCATGTATAATCGTTAACAAACATTTTGCTGTTGGTGGGAACGAATCTTAAGGAAATAAATAAAGTTGACTAAAATAGATAACAGAAAATACCTATCTCTTTGGTCGCAATACTAATTTATAACCGCTGCATTACCTGCTCTTTACAGAAGTTTGTTATTAGTTGTTCTCAGTTAAGATGCAGACATTGTTACATCAGATTTCTGTTATATAATTATATCAAGTATAAATTACACGATACATAAATGTCTTCATTAACTGCTGTTGCAAAATATGCCAAGAATTATTATCCCATCTTATCTAATCTGTCATTGAGAGCCTGTTCTAATGCTGCAGTGAAGGATAAACCAAAAACAAATGAAATAATCAAAATAAGTGATGCATGTGTTGAACGGATAAATCAAATATCTGAAGGAGAGTTTTTAAGAATCATAGTTGAAGGCGGAGGTTGTTCAGGATTCCAGTATAAATTCGCATTGGATAATAAACTGAACGAAGATGACCAAATCTTTGAGAAACAAGGAGCCAAGGTTGTTGTTGATCTAACTTCATTGGAATACATTGGCGGTTCCACTGTAGATTATCAAAAAGAACTAATTAGATCATCTTTCCTAATTGTTGATAATCCTAAAGCAGACACTGGTTGCTCCTGTGGCGCTTCATTTTCTGTGAAATTAGATTAGAGTCGGCATTGGTATGTGCTTTATGTATCTGAAATGAATAGTCAATATTATAAGAGTTTTTTTTAGCTTACAAAATTATATATTTTTAGAATCATGCTAGTTAATTTATTAATTTTATTTCATTGTGTTTAGATATTGGTTGTTTTGATTTATTTGCTCAGTAGAATTTATACATGTCTTTCGAAGGAATCGCTGATGGAATTGAACTGTGATATCTTATTTATTGATGTAGATTCTCCTCGTAATTCTACTAGAATCTCCTAAACCTAATTTATTTAAATTTAAGTAGATTTAAAAGTTATTATTGCTTTGATTCAGTTTATAGAGATCAATCCATTTAAGAAACATTCATTTTATTGTTAACAGCTCTTTGATGTTCATTTAATGGTTTAAATTTTATAGTCGTGTACATATTAAATATATATTTATTTAATTCATGTGTATGAACTTTTTTCAAAGAATACATTTGAGATATCTACATATTTGTAAATTAATCATAATTATCTACTTTGAGTTTAAAAATTAAAACATTGTTATATATGTCTTCGATGAATCTCTAAAAATCAGTTGAAAAGGTAAATGAAGAAGAATAACTCTATGATCTCTTTGGCAATTCTGATAATATAGAAAGAAACTCTTAGATATTTTTAATAAAAAAATAAATATCCCGTTATTGCTTCAATGCTCTCAGTAATATACTTCGATGCTCTTACTGAGGAAACTTCTGGACCATGCAAATAGGTCTTGAGCGAGTACAATAATGGATTAGTATAAATTCGGATAGTTATGTCCTACTGATTATAATTTAACAGAAATTAAATATCAACCTTCATCAATTCCGCATGTTGAATGGTCTATTTCGATAATATATTATATATGCGTCATTCTTATATTATTTGACGTTCCCAGACCTTACATTCATTTTTCAGTTGAAAAATAAAGTAAAGATATTATTTTTTTGTATTGTTCCTAAGGAATGGAATGGTGACATTAAAATAAATTTATCTCAACCACAAGAAGAAATGTCTCAACGTTAATGTAAAAAACATGTAACAAATGTTACTGTGCCCAATCTGAGGATGCGAAGTTCTTCATGCTTTGATATGTCATCATCTGTAATTTTTAAGCATGGGGAATTTAGTTATTATATGATGGTATACTTTGACAATAAAGTAGGAAAATTGGTTTGTCCCAATATTTGGAGAAAAACGTTGTAAGGAATATTATCGCCTTTTCTTGTAATACTGCTCATTTAATATGGTTTTAAAAAATCTGTTTATGGTGCCAGCTATCATTCCATGTGTAATCATGAAGCATTAAAGAGCTGACTGGAGACTACATTTTTTCTTTCAAAACATGCTATGTCACAAAATTTATGCCTTTTATGGATAATTGAAAAATAAGTAATTTCGTGGCATTTATTTAGTGTCATGTTTTCATATCTACCAACTATCAGTTAAATCAGTAACAGCGATTTAGTGTGAAAATGTAAAAAATGTTACTATTATTTTTATAAATTTGATATTATTTATTTAAAATTGTTCCTACTACCATTTGATCATATCAGTATTTTTGTTATTAACATTTCGGAAACAGAAGGATGCTTTTAGTTGTTTTTCTTATAGGCGTTGATGAAAGAAACGCAAATCAATTTTTTTTTCTTCAAATTTTCTCATGTTAACTCGAAATATTTGTGGTTTATTTTTATCTTAATTATATTATAGCTATTAGGGTGAACACACCAGTTATGGACAGGTTGGACTTTAAATATAAATAATAAGCTTCTTTGTTGATTTAAAGGTTCCAGTTTTTTCTAGATTAAAGAACAATGACCTCTATTGACAACTGTATGAATAAAGTTCCCAAAAGAAAATTTTTAAATGCCTCTCATTGTTGTTTCTATAGTGCTCTTGAGTCCAGTGTGTTTTATATCTTTCTACTAACAGTTTTGCTAAGAGTAAGTTGAACATTTATGTTCTTTTACCTTTATAGTTAAATATTTTAGAATTTTTCTGAGGTATGTCCATTACTAGAACAATTGAATTTCGGTGTAACCAATCACTAGTGCAAAAAGGTGTTTGTTTTAATGATTACTCCTGATTAACTGAATATTTTTTCAATTTTAACGTGTTAAATAGAAAATGGAGACCTTGTAGATTCTAATGTCTGACAGATAAGTTTACAACTATAATAATTACGGCGGCATAAGCCAACAAGCTATGTCCATCACTGGTGCTTACCATATAATGGCTATAAATTACTCCATATATTTCCAATATACTAATAACGTTTGTTTATTTAAACTTTTTGAACAAAAACATCCTTGTTTAATATGCTTTAAGTCTGTATTAATTAAGTTATGGTTTAAAAAAATAATAAAAAAAAATTAAAAAAAGAATACTAGTATTAAGAAAACTGACCAAATGGTCAAATATAAATATGACCCATATACAAATATACATAATCGCTGATGTCACTTATACGTCAAGTGTATTAAAACAAAGGATAGCTTTCTAATGTGAGTGTTCTCACTGCGTTACACTAGTTACAACTATTAGGAAAACATAAAGAATAACAGGAAATATCAATAAAAATATCCATTTAATAATAATTTCATATATTTTTATAACTTTATAAATATTCAAACATAATGCGCTGATTCATTTTAACATTGGACTATCAAGAAATAAACTGAAAACAAACTATCCTTAATAATATGTATCACTTTCAAAGCACCTTTTTTGAAATAGAGTCGATAATTTCTGTTAAAATGAATCATCCTATATAAACAAACAATAACAGAAAATTAAATTTACTATAACAGTATGATAAAATTTAATAAATAGGCAATTAATAATTTAGATACGAGATTACAACAAGCAAAATATCTTAAATAATGTCAATCATGAGAAATATGAGAAAGAAAAAAATATCAGTCACATTAACCTCACTTTTTTTTTTAATACATTTATTGGAAACAGCATATTACACAGCCAAAATATTTCTAAAGTTGAAACATTTAAATTGCAATTATACATATTTTTCTAAAATGAAATAACAATTTCCCGCTGCATTATAAGATTTTCATTATTACAGCGTCTTTTTTATATAATTTATATTATAAACAATTTTGTGAGTAAAAGTAACAGATTTACAGATAAATGATAGAAAATACTCATAAAAAGCAATCCAACCATGCTTTTTTTTTAATAACTAATACTATTTCAGATCAAAGTTACAACTAAAGTAAGTTTTCAAATAAAGACACAAATACTTCCATCATAACTGTTCTTTTCTCGGGATCTGCAAATAGGTATTAAAAAAAAAAACAATACATTAGGGTGAACGAACCAGTTATGGACTTTAAATGTAAGTAATAAGTTTCCTTGTTGATTTAAGTTCAGTTTCAGTCGTTTCTAGATTGAAGAACAATGCCCTCTTTTGACAACTGTATGAATAAAGTTCCCAAAAGAAAATTTTAAAATGCCTATCATTGTTGTTTCCTATAGTGCTCTTGAGATCAGTGTTTCATACCTTCCTGCTGGAAGTTTTGCTTAGATTAAGTTGAACATTTATCTTATTGTTTTTCTGTAGAATTTTTCTGAGGTATGTCCATTACTGATACTGACCCCCTGTCCATTACTAGAACAATTGAATTTTGGGATATCCATCACTAGAGAAAAAAGGTGTTTTTTTTTTTTTTAATGGAGATTACACCTGCATGACTGAATATTTTTTTCAATTTTAAAGTCTTAAATAGAATCAGCAAACCCTATAGATTCTAAACGTCAAACAGAGATGTTTATAACTATAATAATTATGGCGGAATAAGCCAATAAAAACAAAAATTTCCTTAGCAATGTCCATCACTGGTACGCTTACCATACATATAAATAAAAATTGTTGAATTTACTCCAGGATAAGATAAATAAATTACTCAATAAAAAATATAAAATAATTTATATTGCATCAATTTTGAGTATTACAATAATACATTTGGTACATGTCAATTTACCAGTGTTGATTTGAATTACATTAATTTATATCAAAATCAACTAATATTTTAAATCAGATCATTCTGTTTTAATTAAAAATTTATTTCAAGTTAAATTTAAGTTTTATGATGGGCAAAAAGGAAATAAATAAAGTTTTACAATGTATGCAACAAATAATTGCATATTAAAAAAAATAGTATTATAAATTCATTCATGTCCTTAGATTAAAAAAAAAATAATGATAATAATATCTCTTTTTTAAGTTGTAATCCGATAATAACCCTAATCCATTATGAAAAAAAAAAACATTGTCTTAGCTCATTCAATTTATTATATTATACATAGTTTTTCCAGAAAAGACTGAAAATCGACCTTTTTGATAATTTGAACATCTGCTTAAGCAATTAGTTCAGGTTAGAGAGATTACATTGTATTCATATAGTTATTATTTTTTTTTTTCATAGTAATATATTTAAGAACAACAGTGGGCTTAAAAATAAGGCTTACGCAATGTAAGCATTCTATCAAAATAGAGGTTTTAGTTGATTCTGATGTTAATATGAAATCAAGAACAACACCAATCAACAAAGTAAACAAATACAATTTTTCAATTTCATGAACATTTGTACAATTCATAACATGACTTCAGATGAGAAATTTGTACAGAATTCCGTTTTTATTTGTCAGCGCATCACTAAATGGCTGAAATACCGAGGATGGGTGTTAGCAAATAAATAAATAATAGCATTTATTTTTTTCATACACATACTGGTTGATCCTCCATCAATATAACAATAAAAAAATACTCCCAGTATGAAAACAACAGACTAAATTTATTGCATGAAATTTGAGTATTATACGACTGAAATCACACTAAACTATTTTGCATCCTTATTGACCTCTTTGTGCCAGTCAATGTTCATCTTGGCAATAGTTTCACCTTTCTCGGCCGCTCTCTTTCCACTTATCACCATGCCGATACAGGCAACAACTGTGGCAGCCATCATGTAATTAGCGAGTTTGATTCTAGCTTTGTTTCTGGCCTTTTCCATGGTATCTTGTCTGAAACACATTTTTTTTCTATTTAGTAAAATTGTTAATTTAAGATAAAATACATATTTTTCAAATGATAAAGATTAGAAATAGTTTAAAATATTCTAGTTTTCATATTTTTTTTCTCTTATAATTAATTGTTTAACATTTTGAGTTGATTGTTCATTACCAAAATCCTTTCAATCTATAACCTTTAGTATGATATACATACATATATATAGGGCAAGTTCCTAAACTCAGCATTGAGCTCGAAAAATGCATCAGAAATCCATCAAACTGTTCCTAAATGCATCAATGAAATTCAGAGTGTTCATTGATTGAATCAACAATGGCTCAGTGGTTCCATTAGCTTTAGGAGTTATCACAACCTTGGTGTTGTAATTTCTGAATTTACTTTGTATATTTATATTCATTATACTTCCTATCTATGTTTATTTATATTTTGAAAATCAATAATTCAGTAGGTAGGCATTTCATTATACACTTTTTTATTTTTGATATGTTATTTGACCTTCCAGGAGCGCCAACTTTCCCCATGAATCCAGTAGGTCTTTCCTAAATTCAGCATAAATCCCTGATCGTCAATACTGGATTCAACAGATTGAACGATTCCATTAATCCACTGTATTAGTTCAGTGCTGAGTTTAGAAACTTGCACATGACCATTTCCTTCCATAGTTGTTTTTTAATAAATAGTATTTTCTTTATACATCATTTCACCATTAAACTGTATTGGAGTTAGGAAGTCAATAGTTTATAAATCTTAAACAGAAATCAATTTGATGGTCAAAAATAGTAAACACTTGCTCAAAAACAAAGATACTGGAAAAATTCAAATTAATCACATATTGCTACCATATGAACTAGGATACTAAAAATGTCATCAAATGTAAATTTAATTCCAAGATAAATCTGAAAATTTACTAAAACCATTTTATCATCAGAGGAACAGAAAATTCCTTCATTACTGAAGGATGTAAGAGAGCTGATGATAAGTTTTCAGATTACCTTATTGTACTTTCAAAACTATTTCATGTAGTTTCCATGGCATTTCCAGCCTTCAACTTGGGTTGAAGTGGTTCTGGATAATTCCTTTTTTATTTTTATAATCTCTTTATCTGTGAGAAATTTCAACTGCCGCTGCAACAAGCAGTAATGAAGGATTCATTTATAGATTGAAAAGAACAAATTTTCCACATCAATAGAAAAAAAAATCCCTACATAATTATTTAATCCATGACTAGGTAGTGAAAAATAGGTCCAATAGAAATTATTTATACTTATGTATATGGACAGGATTTGGGGTGATTAAGTTGAGGCGAATAAAATGGGCATAGTATTAGCGAAAAAAATCCTAAAAAGTTAATATGTGCTGTACCAACCGGCAAGCGTCCGAGGGGTGGAGAGACCAAAGCAAAGGTGGGAAGATTGCGTTAATGCTGATCTGGCGGGGTTGGGTTTAGACGGAGCCCGGAGGATGGAAGAATGTGGACATCGATTGGTGGTATCGGCATCGAACCTTCGGGTTCGCTAAGCTTTATTATTATTAAGTATATGCACAGGAGTGGGCTAACTCAGTGAGTAAGACACTGACCAATGCTCAAGTTCCTGGGTTAGAGTTCAGCTGTGGCAGGAGGTAATTTATTCTGTTATATCAGCTGTGGATCAACTCTAGCATCGAGCGACCCTACTGGAGCACCCTCAGTCTCTGTAAAGTAGGTAATAATAATTAATAAGAGGAAAGCTCTGTGGTTGAGTGTGCTCCCGGTCAAATCACCTCTTGGCACAACTGTTGACCAAGAAAAAGTACTGCCTTATGAAGTACAGAACCCCAGACCCTTCATGGTTCCTAGTGGTAGATTTTTTTAAAAATATTTTTTATTTATACTAAAAATCTTTTAATAAAATGAATGTCCTTGAAATAGGAATAAATCATTCTCAATACTAATACAATTTATTTTCAATTAGCAAAAATGTACAAAAAAAAGTTTTTATTTTTTAATATCAGTTGATTAATTATTACAAAAATTTCAACTTAAAAACGTAACGGATACTCCGATTTTTGTAGCCTTGAAATTTTAACTAGAAAATAAAGTGTATATAAGGAAGAAATGACATGAAATCTAGGATTACGCTAATCCATTTTTATTTTTAATTCGTAGAATCATAAATTTAATAAAGTCCAATCTGTAGAAAACGATTATCTAATCCAACAGTATGGCTTGAAAATGAGTTATTTATAATAGATGTTGAGTAATGAACGGTGATAAATAAAATTATAACAGATAACAAAATATTACGAAAATAGCACGCCTTTTATATATCCGTGGTGTTAAAGTTTGAAATCCAAAAAGTTGAGCAATCAGTGATTCAAGAACCTACTTCAAAGCACAGGCGAATTTACGGGCGGGAAGGGGGCTTCGGGCTGAAGCCCCCCCCCCCTCCCACTCCCCCAAAATGGTAAAATATAACCATATTTTGCAGAAAAAAAAATTAAAAACTACCTCTTAAAGTATTCTTGTTCTTGTAATTACATTTAATATGACTTAAGAACCACTTATACACCATTTCCTATAAGTAGTTAATTTCTTTCTTTTTTTTTCATATTAATTATCGTTATATGTATATGAAAAATAATCTTTCGGGCTGAAGCCCCCAAAATTAAATCCTGGATCCGCTAGTGCTTCAAAGAGCGAACATTTTAATAAAACATTCCACATAGAGAGTTAATCAAATTTAAAACCAATAAAGACACACAGAAAGTAGGTATAATAGTTTTGTAAAATCTTCAGTAATATTTTCTCTAGTGAAAATAAACCCTAAATTTTTCAACCCGAAACGTGGTCGCTAATATTAAGGGAGAAGCAACGTCTTAAATTTTTTTAAATAAAGCATTGCTCAAAATATAAATTTGATGGAGTCAGTAGTGATAAAAGGTTAGTAAGAGCTGTGCCGACTGTAAACGGTTAGAGGGGTAGACCAAAGCGAAGATGGGAAGATAGCATTAAACCTGATCTGGTGGGGCTGGATTAGGAGGACAGTAGATGGATGAGTATACAGTGATTAAAAGTATCGGCATCAAACCTATGGGTCCGCTAAGCCTTTTATTGATACTGATATCAACATCTTTTAAGTTCAAAAAATGGGATTTGAACTAAAAAATTTAAAAAAAAGATAATTCTTAAATACCAATATTCGGAACAGATAAACGAATACTTAAAAGATTTAGGATTTTTTTTTTAACCAAATAAATACAATTTTTTTTCTTGATACCCCAATTTCGCCATTTCTGGCATACGACGATTGTTCCAGAGGTACAACCAAAACTATTTTAATCAGATTGGGAAGGTAAAGATTTATTCCGCGGGTCCGCCAAAAAAATTGATATTAATCAGCCCGGGCCGTATACATTGTAATCAAATCATAAGTTCAGAAAAATTGTATTCTAAATATTGAAATTTCATATTTTGCCTGCTCCTCCCTCTCCCCCCAAAAAAACATTCCTGGGCGTATCTATCCATATTTCCACCTCTTGAAAATAAATGAAAGAGTATAAGAGGCTAAAAAGGCTATTTCTAAATCGTCAATTGCGTAATTCTTCCATCGTTTCGTTTAAAGTTAAATTCGTTTATCAACAGTCTTTTGAAGTAAAGACTGGTAGGCCAATGCTAAATTTACGCTGTACTGGCTACACACCAAGGCTGATGTTTTGAACCATTTTAATCATTTAACGATATCATTTAAAAACAGTTTAATAAATTAAAAGCAATTTCGTATCATATAAATAGTTCATCTAAAAAAATTAGATAACAGGTGTAAAGTTTACAATTTACGAACACATATACAAACAAAAATAAAATAAAGATAAAAAATGCATTGGCAATTACAGGCTTTTCTTAGTGAGATTTTTCTTTAAGTTTAAACAATTTTTTTTTAAAAAAGAAAGAAAAATCAAAATTAACAAAAATGAACCGCAGAAATGCCAATACTAATTGAAAACTTAACAGAGGTTCCCATCGCCCCAAGATCAATGACACAAGACTCTCTTCTCTCTCCCAAGAAATTGTATTGCTCCCCTCTTTTTAAAAATAGTCCAAGCGAAAGTATTATTAGAAAAATCTTAGATCATATACAAAGCAGCTGTCTGGTCCGTTTTTTACCTTTATTCTATGGATTGAAATTTTTCACTCCGAAAAATCATAACCACATCGAAAAGTGTACTCTTCAAAAGTTTTGATGGCGCAACTTACACTATGAAACCTCTTTCTGGGCATCTCTGGTTCTCAGGAAACACTAGCGTTTACGCAGAACTTTTCGCATTTGTGTCCAAAAAACCAACAGTAGAACCGATTATCTTCGTACAGAGGAAAACAACAGCGAGTTGAGACAAATACCCCATTTATAAGTTCGCCACGGTATGGCTAACACGGTGTCGACACGTATTTAGTTTCATGACGGTCTAATAACAATTTTCTTAATGAAGAAACTAATTATATTACGACTAGACATCGAAAATTAACACTTCAAAATCGGGTAATCGTTCGAAATGGAACGCATCCGTTACGATAATGTTAAGATAAAAAGAACTTCTAGTGGAAGTGACGCCTATGATAAAATATTTTAAAAAATCTAGTGCGCGCAACACACAACTTTCACATACAGCTCTAGTTTGAATTATTTTCTTCCAATGTTGGACTATTATAAAATGTTTGAAGTGCATTTTAAACGGAGCTAGAACTTAAGAGCTTACAGATACCAAATAATTAAGATCATTTAAACTACAAATACTCTATTTATTATATCGACGGTATGCAATAAAAATCTAGTTACTCCATCTGTTTTTATAAAGCACAAAACTTCAGTCTCCGAGTCTTTCAGTTGACAGAATGACAAACTCCAATTACAACCTTTTTGAGAAATGTCATCTTAGTGATATTTATAGTTGGAAAAGTTATATCTATACAGACAATGAGTAAGTCTATTCCCAGAGTAGGTGATTGCAGTGGTGA